CGAAGGGGCTTCCGAGGTGAGCGGTAACTCATCAATTGGTATCAGAGCCAGGCTATCCAGATCACAGGCTTCATGATGCCACAGACACGTTCCTCTACCATGGATGATAGGGTCGACCAGCTTGAGGTTGGATTCCACCAGGTGTTGAACGAACTCAGGGAACTCAAAGTGGTCGTCTCAAGCTTCGCCTCTCAGCAACAATCCGGCAAGACCAGTCACCCAGCAGGAGCGGAAGCCTCTGCTTCCAGCAGCCAAAGAACAGGGTATTACCCCACCGGAAAAGTCACTAAGATCAACTTTCCCAACTATTTCGGTGGAGATCCCATTCCTTGGATCTTCAGAGCAGAAAGACTTTTCGAATACCACGAAACACCTGCACACCAGCGTGTCTCCATCGCTTCCATTCATCTAGAAGGAGATGCGATTCTATGGCTCCAGTGGTATCGCCAAAATCATCCCCAAGTAACTTGGGCAGAGTTCACTGAAGCTCTGTGCATCCGTTTTGGACCGACGACGTTCGTGGACTACGACGAGCTTATCACTCGGTTGAAGCAGACTGGAACGGTAGCAGAGTACCAGCTCGAGTTCGAGCGAATGGCGACCAGGGTACATGGCTGGCCGGAGAAGGCCTTAGTGGGATGTTTTGTGGGAGGCCTCAGAGAGGATATCCGCCTGGAGGTGAGGGCTCCCCGCCCGGCGACAGTCATGGCTGCGGTGGGATTGGCTCGCCTACTAGAAGAAAAAATCGACAACCTACGCAGAGCCAGCAAGCCGACCTACCCGAATGTGAGGACTCCTCCACGGGTCGATCAACAGCCCATGAAACAGGTTGGGGATCATCAGAAGCCCATCTTGCCCAGGCCCACTATGCCCTTCAAACGTCTCTCATGGGCCGAGATGCAGGCCCGACGCGAGAAAGGCCTTTGTTATAATTGTGATGACAAGTTTGGACCAGGCCATAAATGTCGGGTCCAGCGGATGTTTCTCCTACAAACAGAGGAAGAGCCGGAGGAGACAGAACCAGAGCACTTAAATGACTGTGAACTGATTCCAGACGGACCAGAACCTGACGGGGCCGAGATCTCCTTACACGCTCTCATGGCCCTCAACTCTCTTCAGTCCATGTGAGTAAAGGGAAGATTGGTTGGTCGGACCGTGATGATTTTGATTGACAGTGGCTCTACCTTGAATTTCATCACTTGCCATTTGGCAAAGCAACTAGGTATGACTATACAACCCACTCCTCTCTTTTCGATCCATGTGGCTAATGGGAGTCAGATGTCATGTAATGGTCTATGTAAGAAGGAAAACATCCTCATACAGGGCCATAATTTCGTGGTGGATCTCCACCCATTGGATTTCTCGGGGGCTGATATTATTTTGGGGGTTCATTGGTTGCGTGGCCTAGGTCCTGCACTTTGTGATTGGAACAAAATGACAATGGATTTTCACCAGGATGGCCAGACTTGTCATTCACAAGGGGTGCGGCCCCCTAGTCCCCAAGGTGACACTTTAGCCTCCATGATACGGGCCTCCAAAGATGTTGGACAACCCTTATTTATGCACTTAGGCATTCGGCCCACAGTCCCAATTCTGGACAACCAGGGCTGTGTCCACCCCACAGGAGCCCAACACGAGGCCTTACGATCGATACTCGATTAGTTTGGTGACGTATTCAAGGAGTCGAACCAATTACCTCCACCCCGGGGTCATGATCATCAGATACCTCTCTTACCAAGTTCTAAATCGGCCAATGTGAGGCCATATACATACCCTTACTTCCAGAAGCTGGAAATTGAGAAGGCTGTGAGAGAGCTATTGGAAAAAGGGCATATACAAACCAGCACTAGCCCTTTTTCATCCCCTGTACTCTTAGTGAAGAAGAAGGATGGTAGTTGGCACTTTTGCGTAGATTACCGGGCCTTGAATCAGATTACAGTAAAGGACAAGTTTCCTATACCCCTCATTGATGAACTGCTGGACGAGTTAGGAGAGGCACGAGTGTTCTCCAAATTAGACCTGCGGTTCGAGTATCATCAGATTCGGGTCCACCAGGCTGACATCCACGAGACGGCCTTTAGGACCCACAATGGCCATTATGAGTTTTTGGTTATGCCTTTTGGACTCACCAACGCCCCTCCACCTTTCGGGCCATTCCTAAGGCGATTTATTCTGGTGTTTTTCGATGACATTCTGGTATACAGCAGGGATTGGGACACACATATGGAACATCTGAAACTCAACCTCACAACTCTAAGGGGGCACCAGTTACATGCCAAAATGACAAAGTGTTCCTTTGGACAAGGACAAGTTCAATACTTAGGCCATGTGGTTGCAACACGGCGGGTCATGGCAGACCCAGAAAAGGTAGACACCATCCAGAAGTGGCCCAAGCCCACTACTATAAAGGCTCTAAGGAGCTTTCTTGGGCTTACCGGATATTATAGGCGCTTCATTAAGGGGTATGGGCTTATGGCCGCCCCTCTAACGCGTCTATTAAAGAAGGATTCCTTCGGTTGGGCTGATGATGCCCAGCAGGCTTTTGAAGACTTGAAGATAGCAGTTTCTAGCCCTCCAGTCCTCACTCTTCCAGACCTCTCAGCCCTTTGAAATAGAATGTGATGCATCGGGTGTAGGAGTAGGGGCCGTCTTGATGCAGAAAGGGCAGCCCATTGCTTATTTCAACAAGGCTCTCTCAACAGCTCACCAAAGTCAATCCACCTATGTCAAAGAAATGATGGTTGTGGTAATGGCAGTGCAAAAGTGGCGTGCATACCTATTGGGACGCCAATTTGTTATAAGGACAGACCAACAAAGTTTGAAGTACATAGCAGAGCAAAGGGTGCACACCCTGGAGCAGCAATAATGGCTTAGTAAACTGATGGGCTTTGACTACCTCATAGAATATAAGCCTGGGCCCGCAAACAGAGTAGTTGATGCCTTGTCATGAGTGGAAGAGTTAGCCCATCTGACCTGCTCTCAGCCCAGTTTTCCCTTGTTTGAAGCTATACGGCAAGAAGCCAGGTCTGATCCGCAGCTGCAGGACATTAGAGATAAGTGGAGTCATGACCCTTCCCAAGTTGCAGGTTACCAAATTGTGGGGCCTGATCTTTTCTTTAGGGGCCGGTTTGTTGTTGCCTAGAATTCAGCCCACAAAGCTGAACTGCTAAGGTTGTTTCATGACTCCGCGTTGGGGGGACACTCAGGGGTGCTACGGACCCTAAAGAGGCTCAGCAGCCACTATCATTGGGTAGGAATGCGTAAGGATGTATTGCACTATGTATCCGAATGCCAAACCTGCCAACAGCAGAAATACTCCTCACAGTCTCCCGCTGGCCTTCTACAACCCCTCAAGATTCCAGAGCAAGGGTGGGAAGACCTCTCCATGGACTTCATCACGGGTCTTCCTCGTTCTACAGGAAAGGAGGTTATCATGGTAGTGGTTGACTGTCTCACCAAGTACAGCCATTTCTCTGCATTACCTCACCCTTACACCGCAGCCATGGTGGATGACATCTTCATACGGGACGTCGCCAAGCTGCATGGAACCCCAAGATCCATTGTCTCAGACCGTGACCCTGCCTTCCTTACACCCAGGATCCATTGTCTCCCCGCAGACTGATGGACAGATTGAAGTTCTTAATCGATGCTTGGAAGCCTACCTTAGATGCTTCATAGGGGAGAAGCCTCGACAGTGTACAATTCGACTTATCAGTCAGCTGCTGGAATGACACCCTTCAAAGCTCTATATGGCAGAGAACCCCCTCCCATATTACCTTATGAATATGGGTCATCCAAGGTGGCAGAAGTAGAGACCCGTCTACTTGCGAGAGACGAGATTCTTAAATTGCTTAAGTCCAACTTGACAAAAGCCCAACAGCGAATGAAGGCCCGCTATGACTCTCACCACCGCCCATTAGAATTTCAAGAGGGTGCTTTTGTTTACCTTAAGCTCCAACCTTACCGCCAGATCTCAGTAGTAAGACATGCTTGGCACAAGCTAGCGCCTAGGTATTATGGGCCTTATAAGGTTCTGGAGAGAGTGGGCCTTGTTGCTTACCGGTTGGACCTCCCTACAACCTCAAAGCTTCATCCGGTGTTTCACATCTCACTTCTTAAGAAGGCGGTGGGAAATCAAATTCCTGTCTCATCCAACTTGCCCCAATTCACTGAAGGGGACATTGACACAGAGCCTATCAGAATTGTGGATTTCTATTGGGTTCGACGAGGTGGTCAGGTTGTGCCAGAAGCCAAGGTAGAATGGGCTGGGCTTCCTCCAGATGACGCCACTTGGGAACCTTATCTAAGGCTGAACGAGAGGTTTCCGAATCTAGACCTTGAGGCCAAGGTCAATGCTAAGGGGGGAGGAATTGTTGGAACCCAAACACTCCCTCCGAACCCAACTATGGGAGTGGAGCAGACCACCACCAATCAGCATTTCACTAGAAGACAGAAAGGATAGTGTGACACGCGGCAGAGCCTCCAGAGTTAGTTACACTGCCACCAAAAGATATTCTCTCCATGATTGCACACATGTAGGCCAGCTATATAAGGCCCTGATCATGTAATAAACAGTGTGAATGAATATCTCTTTACCTCTCTCTCTCTCTGAGTCATTCTTCTTCCTACCTTCCCCTCTCTTCTCTCCCTTCATCTTCTGTTTCAGGAGGTTAAGCCACCCTCGAAGGGGCTTCCGAGGTGAGCGGTAACTCATCAGACTCCAATTGACAACACATAGCCTGGAGTTCCATTTTCTCTTCTACTAACTCTAGAAGGGCCTCACACTTCTCAATGGGGGTTAAAATACTAGTACTGTTTAACTTCAGCTTCTTTAGTAACTCTTCAGCAATTCTCTTCCAGTCCTTCGGTGGGGCTGTTAAGGTAACAATAAATTTCTTCTCCCAGTCATTCTTGTGCATGTTGCAAACCATTCTACAGTCCTTTGCTCCTTGAGCCATGAGCTGCATTTCTGTTACTTCTTCTGGCAGTTCCTTCTGCTCCCTCACTGTAGAGTCTCCATAAACCCCCTGTGTTTCTTCTATTAGCTCCCTTCTACTTTCTTCTCTAGCTTCCTCCCATGTAATGAAGTCCTTCAAAATCCCTGAGACTTCTCCCCAGCCATTCCACTTCTTACCTTCAGGGAAGCAGACCATCTGCTTTTTTCCTTCCCCAAAGAATTCCATAAGCACCACGTACCTTCCTTTAGGATTCTCCCTTCTTTCTGCTATATACCTCCTGCCATTAACCTCAATTGAATCTTTGTATTCAGACTTCCTACTCACCTGAACAGAATCTTCCATGAAAGTCTGAAACCACACCAATGCTTCTTCCCCTACCAGCAACACCATGGCCATATTAGTTTCTCTGATTTTTAAAGCTTCCTTCCCTTTCACCCTGTAACTTTGAAATAGGAACTGCTTTGCTTCCACTCTTAGAGATCTTCTTCAAACCTCAGTCTGCTTAAACTTCTTACAAGGACTAAACCCACAAAGATCACCTCTTAGATAAGAAACGCCTTTAGTAATATGATCAATCTCTGAATTTTCTGCCACTTAAATTGTCTACTGCAATGATACTCTTGCCCATCACAAACTCATTCTTCAACACAAAAAACCTGTACAGAATCCCCTTGACCAGCATTCCTTCTACAATCCAAGTCAACAACCCCCAGTCTATGGACTGGTACTTCAGAACAATCCTCCAAATTGGATGGGTACCCACAGTTTTATTCTCCTTTCTGACAGCCACATTTTGCTTGATTTTCAGAACTGGCTCTAAGACAATTTTGCATCACCAGATACGACTTCCAGACTGATAATAAATACCATCTGGATTAGAAGAACAAATCCTCTCAGCATCCTCAGCACCATCTTGAAACGTGCCATTATACATACCAGATTATTGCTGCATATCTCCCATATACATCTGACATGATCTCAGCCTAGTGTTCAAATCTTCAACCTTACAATCACAAACCATGCATGATAAGAGTTGACTGAAACTATGGAACATTAAGCAGTTAAATCAAGAGTGCCACACTAAGTAGTTGGAGATGGTCATTCAAGATATTTGAATTAATAAAAGAGTAAACTGCATATACTTGTACGACCCTCAGTTTTATCTAATAACTTATACCACATTGGCTACAAAAACTATAGGGGGTTCATTCCCTCCCTCCTTCCCTCTTCTTGTGCTTACAGCCTTGGCCTCCACCACCGTCATCACCGACTTTTGCTCCCACCAATCCACCTTCCCCAAACCCTTAGACTTTCAAAAGCCAGTGTTTTGAACAAGGGAATATTATTTTAGAGGCCTATCATCACAACATATGTCATTCAAAAGCCAGTGTTTGCATACCTCATTCCATGCAACCAGATGAAACTTCTCCTCCTTAAATCCTTCCCATAGAAAATCTCTCCTCAGCTTCACCAAAGTATCCACCACCAACATAGGGGTTGAGTAATAGTAAAATATAATACAGCTGGAGGTTTTATAGAACATTATGTATTAGATAATCCTACCCTTCCATAGATATCCCTCTTTTTCCAGCCTACCAGTTTCCACCTGAACCTCTCAACAATTGCATCCTAAATAGCTTTGGATCTGTAGATGGCAGCCAGAAAAAAACCCAGAAGTTTTGACAATAGCATCCTACATTTGCATAGAATGCCACTACCTTCATCTTTGTCAACTGAGAACAGTTTTTAAAAGAAAAAAATGCAACTAAATCGCAAATAGGACACCGAAGCTTGAGGCACACAGTGAGGTGCACACCTGAACAAAGTGAAGCTCCAATTTTGAAAAAAAAAAAAAAAAGAAAAAACTTGCTATACAAGAATATGAAAAGAAAAAATATTTCCAAAAATCTAAAAGTTCAACTTCTTAGAGCATTTTGTTTCGTTTTTTTATAAATACTTGGAGCATTTTGTTATTAACAAGAAGGTTGTAGCATAATAAATTGAAGTCATACATAGGCTACACTGTTTAAATTCCAAATAGCATAGAAACAAAGTGAATTGCCTGTTCAACATCATGTTCAAGTTTAATTCATGAAAACATAGAAAAAGCATTGATAGACACTGCTCTGTATCCAGTATATATAAAGTGAATGCACTGTTACGTGAAAGGGGTGAACTAAGGAGTTCATGGAAGCTCGTAAATTGTAACTCAACAGAACTAAAATCATAATGCTATTAGAGCATAAAACTGTGGGTACCCATCTAATTTTAGGGAGACATGTTACGAAAGAAATTATTAGGAGTAAAACATAAAGGATCTTATCAGTAATAAATAATAACTTACTTTGTTGAAGCAAAAACTTTTTCTAGTGCTGGTTTGTCCCGAAGGTCAATCTGCATACAGGAACAGATATTAGAATCTCAGGTTTGTACATAATGAACCTAAATACAAAGGAATAAATGAAAGTAGTTTTTAGAAATTAGTAAAACTTCCAAAGTAGACATCAAAACAAAGTTCTACCATGTAAAGAGTATGGACAACGTCAAAAGTTGGAAACACTAATTAAAAGGAAAATGATTCAAAAACTCAAACATGTTATGAGAGGTACACCATCAAACTTTGGACTGTATAAACCGGAACATATTGTACACAGATCCAGAACTTCATGAAAATTTTGAGTCAACAAATGGTAAAATGGTCCAGAGCTGAATGACACGGTTCTGTCAGGAAACAACATGTTGTAAGGTCAGCTATGTTGTATGGAGCAGAGTGTTGATAAAAAAAAAATAATAATAATAATAATCTATACAGTTGTAAGGCTAGCCATGTTTGATCAACACTCTGGCCTTACAGCTCTGCTCCATACAACAGAGCTCAATGGCATGGATCTGTCAAGAGTCAACACAGCATAAATTTTTTACCTTCCATGAGCATTTCTTAATTGTACCTTTGGCTGTGTTTGTTTCTTTGTAAAATGGACGAAAATATTTTTCAGACTGAAATACTTTAGCCATTACTTTTGCTCCCTTTACAGAAAAAAGCTTTGTTTTCCACCCATTCTAATTTGTTTCTATGTAAATAGAAAGGAAAACAAAGTTTTCATCATAAAGGGGCAATAGTATAACACAAATATTTCAACCTGAAAAATTTTCCATCCAAATTGTGCTGAAACAAAATAGAGCCTTAAGAGAAATAATTTTAGGTCTCTATGCCTGATAGAAGCTCAGCCCTCATACAGGTAAAAAACATAAGTGCTCTAGCTGCATTGATCATACGATCATTCAATTGTATTTTATCCTTCCATTATGCACAAGTGCTGCATTTATAAAATTACAAGGTGTAAGGGGGCAGAAATCATTTTCCTATTTCTAAATAGAAAAGGAGAGCATGTGGGGGACTGGTAATAAGGACAAGTCAGATGTAACTCCAAGAACAAAAAAATGACAGTAAAAATGATGCGGACTTTCCTGTTAAATTCATAGAATAGAAAACCAAGCAAAATCTGGTCCTACAAGTAAATTCAACCCTGAACTATTTGCTTATTGGAATCTAGCATTATATATTTAAGTGAGAGATTACTCTCGAACTTTTCGGTTCAATTTACCTATCTATTGAATGTAAACTATATAGACACATCGAATGCCTTATAAGCTCACAAGTTAATCTCAAACTTTCCAGAGCGTTATAACTATAAACCACCGAACTGCAGATACAGATAAAACACCAAATTCAATACCAATTTAAGCTAAAAAATCTGCACACTCTACTCTCCTATTCCCTGAAGACCGAGCCCACTCGTTTCAATTAATATATTTTCTGAGTACACCAAGACGAAGACCGTTAGCTACAGTAATTTAGCAAACACGATATCCAGAATGCAATACAGAAATACAAGATCACACGCCTAAACAATAAACGAGTTATGCACACGCATTTCAAATTAATCCACCACATAGAAGATAGAACCTATTTAAATTTCAGAAAAAAAAAAGGAAAAAAAAAACTCCACTACCAGTAGAACAAATCAACAAGGATAGAGAGGAAACATCTTCATTTTATGAATGAATTCCATCCATATCGAACCTGATGAAACTCCAAATTCTTGCCAAACTCGCCAGCGAGTTCAGTAACTCTCTTAATGGCGACATCAGAGGAGTTGTCGAGGTTATCGACGACGACAGCTTTGAATCCTCCCAACAGGAGCTGAAGTGCAGTGTGGCTTCCGATATAGCCGGCACCGCCGGTGACTAGAATGTTCTTCGCCATGGCCGCGTGAGATACCGAGAGGTTGAGCGAGAGACAAAAGAGACTAATGAGACCTGAGTAACGCCGAGTAGAGATTATGAGACCGAAAGAGCCAAGAAGCGAAACAAAAAACAAAGACGGAAACATCAAAATATTCTAGAACAGTGGGGCCTTGACGAATTTAACCTCTTTGGGGCTGCCGCTTTTGGGGACTTGTTTGCTGGACGAATCAAGCATCAGAAGCAGGGAATCCTGATCCGTGGTTGTTTGGTGTTAGTGAGTAGAAATGTTCAGTCGCCACGTGTTGTATCAGACCTTTTCTTCTGGATGTCACGGTTGACGGTTGTATTTGTGTAGCGGTGTAGGTTATGAAAAAGCTGCTTTTTTTCTCTTTTTGGAAAAGTGTTTCTTAAGCACTTTTTAAATGTTTGGGAGGACGTTTCTTGCATCATCAGATTTTTGTTGAAAAAAGCTCCTTTCTTTTGGCCAATTACCACCACTCCCAGACAGAGCTTTTAATAAAAACGAAAGAGAAAAGTTGGGGTGTTTTCTTAAAAGGCCAATCATCTTAGACCGGGTTGAATACTAACTCGGACCAACCCCAGTTGCACCCACTTTGCTTATGCCAATTAGCAATTTTTATATCTCTAATAAATTATATATTTTTTGAATAAATATGTTATTTAATATATTCTTTAGCATACATATAATATCATAATATGATGCAGCTCAGGTTGGCCTAAGTTCATTATAATTTCTACATTGATTTGGGCTTGGGCCTTCGGTCCGGGCCACTCAAAGTATAACAAAAACATAACCTGAACCCACCCAAGTTACATCTCTATATATACATCTATACTACTTTAAAATCCATGAATAGCCTCTAGAATATTTTTGAAATTTTTTGAGGATAAAATTTATTCCTTCATATTTAAATTTACTGATATAAAATGAGGGCAAATAGGGTAATTGGTTATTGATATTAAATGAGTTAAAAAGTAATTTTAAGATATTAAATGCATTCAATTCCCTCTCATTAAATTCAACATTTAAGGTATTAACTTGCATTCACCCTCATTAAATCATATAATCTAAAACATTTTTTTTTCTTCTCATCATTAAATTCTATTAGTTAAATTCATGCATAATAAATTAATAATTTCAATAAGATAAAAACTTATACTTTGAAAATATACCTAGAAAAAATAGTGTTTTCATCTAGGCGTTAGTAAGAAATTAAACCATGGGCCAGATGAGTCAATTCATGTTGCCACAATTAAATAATAAAATTCAAAATTAAAATAGATAAAATGCAAAAAATATAGAAATTTAAAAAAATGGAAACATTTTTAACATCGTATGTTTGACATATTAAACAATAATGAGTATGATAAATAAGAAATGTTTTTATTAATGATGAAAATGGAATATAAAATTAAAACCAATTGAAAATAAAACAATTTTCTTATTCTTTCTTATTAAGTCTCATATATAATCTTTCATTAAATCTTATATTTAAGATATATTTTTTTCATCATTAAATTCTATTAATTAATTTTAATAATATAAAAATAAATATTTTGAAAAGTACTTTAAAAACAAAACCATTTTCTTCCCTCTGAATGGTGGGTAAGCAATTCAACCATTTGAGCTCAAATGGGTTAATAAACAATACCATAATTAAATAATAAAAATTTAAAATAAATAAAATATATAATACAAAAAAAAATAATTGGGATATCTCTAATATTTGTATATTCATTATACTAAACAACAATAAGTATGTAATGTAAGAAGTATTTTTATTAACCATGAAAATGGAATGCCAAATTTAAAGTCAAACTAGAAATGAAATGATGTCATAGTCAAATAATAAAATTTTAAAAATAGAAAATACAAAGAATCACAAAAATAAAAAATAGAGAAAAATTTAGACACATATCTAATGCTATATGTTTATAAAAATAAAATATTGCGTACATCTCTAATATTATAATTTCGTTATATTGAACAAAAATAAGTTTTACACAAGAAATAATTTTATCAATATTGAAAATATAATACAAAATTTAATGTCAACCTAGAAATCAAAATATTTTCCTTTTTGAGTGGTGGGTTAGTGGTTTGGGTCAAACGGATTAATCAATGATATGATAGTTAAATACTAAATCATTAAAAAAAGTATAAATAATCAAAAGAATATATAAAAAATTATATACTAATTATGTCAAACAAAAATTAAGTGTGATAAGTAAAAATTATTTATATAATGTAGATGAAATATATAATTTAAAGTTGATTTAAAAGCGAAGCTATTTTCTTATTTAGATGCCGGGTCAATGATCCAACTTTTCGAAAGACTCATGAAGTCATAATTGAATAAAAAATATTTAAAAAAAATATGAAACACAAAAAATGAAAAAGTACAGAATTTTTCAAAAACATTTTGGAATATTTCTAATGTTTATATATTCATCATATTAAATAAAAATAATTGTTAAAATAAAAATTATTTTTATTTATGACAGAAATATAATACAAAATTTAATTATAATAATAAATAATTTGTTATTATAATCTAAAATTTTCACATGGAATGCACATGCACATTTACTACAAACATTTAAGTTCATTTTTAATCATATTATTACTTTTATAATTTTTTAATTTCTATCTTAACTACCATATGCATAAAGTTCAAGTAATTAATATGAAGAAAAATTTTTCACGTGCTTAATTACTAGTATTTACATATATACATACATTATTATAAGAGTGGGAATGAGTTCTTGAATTTTTGAATTTCTGGATTTTCTTATTGATTAAAAATTTAAAATGTCTTTCCTTATCTTTCTTCTTGAATTTGGTCTCTCTTGAAACAAGATGTAATTTAAACATTATTTTTTAATCTATTACATTCCCTTTCATCAAATCACATATTTAAACCATATTTGACATATAATTAATTGGACTTTTTAAAACGTTCATTTTAAAAAGTGGGGGTAAAGGAGTTTGGTGAGATGCATCATGCATCTACCAGATGTATCATTGGAGATTAAATTATCTAAGGCTTATCCTTAAACAAGGTTCAAAATTTTGATAAGAGCATATCATATCGCATTGGGAGTTCGGATAAGTATGCCTAATTTTGAAAAGAAGATAAAAGAGTTATTATGCCCGTTCGTAAGTACCAGATGTATCATTACTTTGAACCTTGCCCTTGAACTTTCCTCTCAACAAAATACGGTCATCAATTATCATTTCTAAAATAAAGGAGGATAAAAAAAGCGAAAAAAATAAAACCTTAAAAGCTGAAGTCCAGATAAGCTGGACAAATTGCACACAACACAACAAAGAGGAAGATTAAAAAAGCTGGGCAATATATTCATTCTAAAAGGAAGATTTGACACGCTAACCAAATGCATCCAATTGAACTTTTCTCCTTATTCTAACCTAAAATGAGAAAAGTTCTCTTTTTGCTTCTCATTTTTAAATTCAACTAATTAAATCATAACACAAAAAACTATATTTTCAAAACCAACTTAGAAATAAAACCATTTTGTTTTTAAAAATCTAAAGCGGTTCAACCGTTTGGGTCAAATGTGTCAACCTATGCTATCATGAGTTAATAAATAAAAATTAAAAAATAGATATAAAAGAAATTACTACAAGTCTACAAAAAAAAATTCAACACATCTCTAATATTATATGTTTTTCATATCAAACAAAAACAAATATGATAAATAAGAAGTATTTGTATTTATAATGAAAATGGAATATAAACTTTTAAACCAACCCTAAAGTGAAACCGTTTTCCTAGATGGGTGGTGGGTTAGTAGTTTCAACCCTTCAAGTCCAATGGATAATCCAATGATGTCATAATTAAATAATAGAATTTTTATAAATAAAATATATATATATATATATATATATATATTAACGGTGCAAATAAATTACAAAATCTAAAAGCAATCGAAACAATGAAATATTGAAATTATCTTCCTGTTTACATGGCAGGTCATGAGTCCAACTTCTTAGGTCATGGGTTAACCCATAAAAAAATAAAAAAAAGCATTAGGCACATCTATAATATTGTACATTTATCATAGTAAACAAAAAATATAAAAATTAAAAGTTATTTTATTAATTATGAAAATGAAATATAAAATTTAAACTCAACCGTGGGCCAATGATTCAACTATCTAGGTTAATTAAGTCAACATATAATGTCATAATTAAATAATATTAAATAAAAAGTAAATGTAAAAAATATTATTAAAAAAGTAGATAGAAATACAAAAATTTATAAAAAATATATAATTATTTTAGAAAAATTAGACACAACTCTAATATTATATATTTGTCAAATTAAAAATAAATGTGATAAACAATAATTATTTTTATCAACGATAGAAGTGGAATGCCAAAATCAAGAAAAAAAAGAGAGAATTAATATCTTTCTCCCAACCCCATGTTGTTTGCTTAAGCCAATGGTTTTACACAAGCAAGCAACTTAGTGGTAAATGGATCTAGATTCCTGATTGACGGCTAGTTTGGCTAATCCATTTGATCACAGGATAAAAAATATAGATAAAAACCAACATTCTAAAAATCAACTAGAATTGCACTCCTTCTCAATCAAACAAGTTGACTTGTGATATTATAAGTTAAATAAGGAAATGCTAAAAAATACAAAAAAGAGAATTATTTTTTATAAAGGAAATGCTAAAAATACAAAAAAGAGAACTAATGCTCCGTTGATCTAAATAATAGGTGAAGCCAAGTTGTTTTATAAGGTCAATTCTTCAATAATAACTAATAAGCATCAGTGGGTTTGAGTTCCTATTGCTTTTTGCCATATTTTTAGTCCTAGTATTCAAAAGGCTGATGCTTGATCAAAATGACAAATGATTAACAGATATTCATTGAAGAGGTGATGGAACTTGTAGAATTGAGATTACCGAAGGAATCGTTGATCATAGGTTGGTTTGCCTGGTGTGGATCTCAAAGAGGCACAGCGAGAAAGAGGTTGCCATTGCGGTTCAGTTTGTTGCAAGTTGCATAAATGGAAGAACACTACTGACACTGAAAGAGAAGTGCATGTTTCAGCCAAGCACCTCTCCTCCTGGCTCACAAGACCTTTATCATTATCATTGTTCTCTTCCTTGGAGTACTAAAAAATAAACACCTTACCTGTTCCCGCAACTGTGGCCATAGAACAACCAATCTTTTAGAGGAACAGTTATTTTGGCACCTCTTCTTTTAAGCATTTGATGTTATTAGACTTTACATTCTGTGGGATGATCACCATGGCAGACTGGCAGAAAACTCTAAACATGAGCATTGCTGCTATAATTGTTTCAGTTTTATATGCAATTTGGAGCTTTCTCTCAGGATTTCTAATCCCACAAGAACACAGCCTATACATTCCAACAAATCCTCCCTCTTGTCTCTTTACTTAATCTCTTGGAAATGATTAAAGACTTATTGACTGGTTTCAGAGAATGCCAGTGTGGTGGAGGTGGTAATAGATTGTTTGTTTCACAGCTTGGGAATATACAGATCAAGCTTGGGACATGTGACAGTGGAAAATTTTTTGAGGAGCTATTTTGGGTTCAAACATTGAGCTTTTCGGTGTGGTTTTAATTGTGGTAGTTGGGTTTGCACTTGGTAGTTCTCAATTTTAACCAAGCATAGGCAAAAAGAATCATCTTTGCCTGTTCAATTAGGCAATTCAACTTTATAAGGAGATAAGGTACCATTTAAATTATGATAGAAAATAAGGTACAGATTAAAAAAAAATGAAGAAGAGAATGTGTATGAACTAAATAGAAAAAGAGAGAATACTTGAGAGGATCTCTACCAGTGCACAAAATAATAGGCTTCTCAACATCCACCATAGATAATAAACTTCTAAGGGTATAGAGCTGTCGCTTAACAAAAAACACTCCTACCCTGGAAACAGCTAGAATCAAATGTGGAATTTACTGAAGTTTTCATTAAAGCAGATTTCCCTAACTAGTTCCCAAGAATGTAATATAAATGTGGTTTTGTACGAACATCAAATACTTGGTGGGTAAGCTTCTTCCAGGAAACCTACCCTGAGCAAGCCCTCATTCAGGAAATTTCTTGAAACATATGGTCTATACATATGGACATTAGTGTTGAATTTTGACATGGACATGGTTTTAGGCATGACAAGTCCCCAATCTAGAAACCCAGATAAGGCTATCGATATGCACATGCAGACACATACATATATTTATGTAAACAGGCATTTGTATATGTATGTGCTTCTGCACCTTGTATTCTACCAAATGCAGAAAAAAGAATAAATATGGTGGATCACAACTAAACTGTGTACAATATGATACATGGTTACCTATACATGCCTAGCATACCAGTGTTAGACAGGATAAGTACCTAATACAACACCAGATATTGCCTGAACACTACTGGATATACTCTATAGTATTAACATTTTTAAGCTATATAAATTGATATGTTTGGACAAATCATAAGATGGAAATCTGCATGTGTAATTAATTTGGCTAGATACAGAAGCATGCCCAAGATTTTAGGAAATGGAGAGGCAAATCCCCAATTCTTTCAACAATGTTCCATATCATATGGAATACCATAACCTCGTATCCATGTCCGGGATTTTAGGAAATAGAGAGGTGTATCCCCATTTCTCATATCTGTGTTAGTGTTAATATCCATGTCAGGGTATCATAACATGTCTTTATGTACATTTCATATAAAGCCAGGCACATTCTCATTTGTCAAATGTGTTCAGGCACATCTTGACATCTCCAACATGTTCAAAATACTAGATTGAGAGTTGAGATGCTACATGTGAAAAGGAATACTCAAAATCCACATTCACCAAGTCATTTATAACTAAAAAATGTAACTGAAGAAAGAGGCGTATTTGATTCCTCAATCACCAGAACTTCTGTAAGAGTCAAGATAACATACCATTTTAAACCAAGGCTTCACAAAGGTAATAAGTAAATTAAACAGAGAAAAGATTTATTTCTTTGAAATTGTCAAATGGGATTCTTGTACATTTGAGAGGGAAGTGTTTGAAAGATTTATCTATATTAAGCTTGACAAGCAACTAAAGTAATGTAAACCTGTCAACATGAGAACTTCTCAACTAATGTGATAAGTCTCAATATGCCAGTGTGGCCATTTGAAAAAAAATAAGAAAACAAAAAAAAAAAAAACAAGAAAAGACCCTTTAGAGGATTAGATCTAGAGCAATACTTCATTAATCTTCATCACCCAAAGTTAAAATATCCAGTTAAAGAACCAAACATGGACCGATTGAAAGTTTAACATCATCACCTTCTTGGTGCACTTAATTGAATACGAAAACATCTAGTTCATTGAAGAATAGTCCATTGAATTGTAGGTGTCAACCTCTAAAACTAGCTCAATACATCAGAAAAGGAACAAATTCTAAACTTACCATTATGAGTTGCAATTTCAATTCTAACTATTTCAAGAGAAAATCATGTTATGCTACACCTCTTTTCAGCCTCTCAAAGTTTTCCATGACCCTTTACACTAAATCTGATATCTTGATTATTAATTATAAAAAAAAAATAAAAAAAAAGTTGCAGAACCATGGAAAAAAAATCCAGCTGAATCTTACAAAATCATTAAAAAAATCTTGGAAAGAAAGAAAGAAAAAAAACTAAGTATCTTTTCTACCTATTCCGCTCAAAAAAACATCAAAATAAATAATCAAAAGCAGTATAAAAGCAGACTTCGAGCAGAGACCCTCCAATTATTTCTGCGCTTTACCGAGCGTTTCCTTCTCGACGGACGCAGACGCAGAAGTAGCCGACGCATTTGCTGATTCTTCGGCTTCAACGAGCTTTCGAAGTTTCCCTTGAAGGGTTCGAACTCTGTCCTCAGTCTTGCGGAGCTTTCTCCATCTGTAGGTCGTCCAAACAGCGAGACCACCGTATACGACAATATACGAAGCCCATACGTACGGGTACGTCTCTGCGTGCTCTCTGATCTTTCGATACTGCTCTTCCACCTTCCCCTTCCAATCCGTCGGTGGCAGCTTTGTCGTTTGTTGCTCCTTCGCCTCGCCTTTTTGTTCGGTGGCCATTTCGCAACTTCTGTGTCTTACAGCTCAGGTAATAGAGTAGGAAGTTATCTCTTTCGCCGGAGTGTCGGAGAAACGTCAAGATATCCGCCGGAGTGTCGGAATGAAATGCCGCCGCACTAGGGTTTAGCTGGGATTTGGGGAAAGGAAGAGAGAGAGGAGAAATGAGTCTCGAGAACCCCATCTCGGACATGAATTTTACACTTCCACACGTGTTAGGTGACATGGAAGATGGAACCTTTTTCTGCTCGGTCCAACCATAGCTCGACTCATCGACCGAACCGCTAATGGTCCGGTTCCGTATCTCAGCTCGTCCTTCGGCCTGCCTAGATCACAGACCAGGCTCCGGAAAACGGAGTCCAGCGCCATTTCCTGCACATATAGGCACGGAAAATACAGAGCACGAAGAAGAAAGAATTCGAACAGAGAAGAAGAAGAAGAAGATGATGATGATGAAGAAGAACTTTTAGGAGTTCTTTACATTAAGCATTCATGGCATTTCTTGAATGATTACTTGAGTTTCTGCTTTGAGAAATAAGGGAAGGAAATATCATTTTGGGGTTTTTACCGTTCAATCCACCTCTGAAATCGTAGTTCCACCGTACAGTTGGGGGTAGGTGCCAGTTCGGAATTGATGCCAATTCACTGGCGGGTATGGGTGTTATAGGTGGAGCTGTTCATAAATTTGAATTGTTGTAGGTATGCAGTTCAAATCTGAATTCTGAGGTGGAGTGCAGGCTAAAAATCCCTTTTTTTTTGTATGGATTTGCTCTATATTTTATTTTGTTTCTTATCTTGCGCTTAAGTTTCTTTCTTCCTTGTTTATCTTTTCGTTTCTCTTCCTTTTTTCAAGTTTTTTGGGTGAAAACCTGGGTTTCAATCATTTGAATGCCCGTAAAGTTTAAAAGTCATTGCGAGATTCTTGCTTTTTTTTATATCCTTTTCTTTGCTTCTTAGCTTATGTTTTGCCCCAATTTGAGATGGAGCTAACTGCTACTGCTTCTATAATCCCATTGCAAAGAATAGCAATGCGGGATTAATCTTCTGCTTTGGCCATATTGCCATACCAAGTCCTCCTCGTGGCATCATGACCTCTTTAGCACCCAAAAGGGGAGATGGAGAATCAAAAAGCAATGGTGAAGGAGAATGGCATTTCAGGGGTTTCAGCTTCATCTCAGTCCTTTGGTTCAAAAGAAAATGTATGCTGGGGATGGATTTTTCTTCTACTTGGTTCTTGTTCCTTTTKGGGCTTGTTTTATGCAGCTATGCTATCAAAACTTCTTCCACACTTTGGAAATAGGATTATACTAGCCATTCATAATATTTATTAAATTCCATACATCATACATTACTCTTTTAAACTCCTGCATACTTTTCTTGTTCTTTCGAATGATGGAGAAAAACAGTTACATCACTTTTTTTCATAATTAGTTTGTAATTACATAAGCCAGGTAGTTGTATAGATGCATAGAATTATCATTTTGTAAGTAATCAATGAATACAATCAATAGAATAGTACTTTGTATCAATTAGCTTTTAGTGTTGATAGAGAGAGAGATTTCTTTTTTTATGTTCCTAAGGGGACAACAGGTAACGTATTAACCGAAGAAAACACTACATGCATATCATTCTCATAATTTTATAATGGTCGATTTGGTATGCCAATAGAAAGTAGTTGAACCTAATTTCAAGCTGAAAATTTTCACTGTCACCATTAAATAATTTTGTTTTTTTAAAAAGTCTCCTTACGTTTTAAGTATAAGAGAAATTTCTGCATCTGAGAGCTTTCTAAGGTGGTAAAGTCTTTAATTTTGAGATTAAGTCTCAGTTTGGAAAGAGTACAAATACAAATATGTAGAGTGCAAAATCTTGTGTTTTGTATTATTTTTTATGTATTTGTACTGTACATTTTTGTATTTGTACTCTTTCCAAACTGAGCCTAAGCAAAAAGTTGTTAATTTTGATAGAATGCCTTTACCCATTATTTCAATCCCCTCCCCCAAACAGAAAAGGAAAAGTGAAAATGAAATTTGATTAAGTTGTGCCATCTTGTGCATTACTCCATGTGGGTGCATCTCTATATTAGTTTCAATTTGTAAACATCATAGGATATAAATACTTTGTGTTTGGATCTGGAAGGGCCAATAAACTCAATTTTGTTTCAGCTAGGCAAGTTTGATCCTATTGTAGGGACTCAAGGTATAATGGTTTTGAACTCAATCTTTACCTCTGGTAGAGTAGAACTTGCAAACTCAGTATGTAAACTGAAGGAAGGTGGGCTGAATCAAATGCTTAGGCCACTTGTTAGGAAGCAATGATAGGGGATCTAGTGAAGTAGAGTAGGAATTTATGGATGGCCTAGGAAGCCATGAAGCAAGTAATATTTGGGGGGGGGGTTGGAAGAGTGTCTATAAGTGACAGAAGGCCTCAAAAAGTAGTAGCATGGATGAGTGCAAGGTTTAATAATGTAAAATTCATTGATATGGTGGAAACATTGTGAAATATGTGAAAATATAGAATGACATTTCATGAAATAACAAAAAGAAGCACACGTGTAGCTTTTTAAATTACTTTCTTGTTCCCAACTATTAAATAAATTTAAGAAACTAAGGTTAATAGACAAAACAATACATTGCAAAGTTGTCTTGTAAACTACATGATTGAGTTCAAGAAAATCTAAACTCATAGAAAATGCAAATGTTTCTAATAGATCAACCAAATAATCTATTACACAAACAAAAACTAAGATTTCACTTCATGTTTGAAAAGAAATCAATTTTCAAGATTGTTTCAAAGTGGTAATCATGCCCATTTGGTGGGGAATAGTACCTTTACTCCACATATCTACAATATTATTACCAACTTATGTTATGCTACCATCTCTTGTAGTCACATAGTGCAGTACTTTTCAATGAGGAATATGTTGATCCCAGTTTTATTCCGTGTTGGTACCCCTGGAAATAGAAATATGTTGTGGAAATATTAGGAAATTTCTGGACATTTTGAACCATGGATAAGTATGAGAGGATCAAATTTAAGCATAGTGCTTGGGGTAGCAATAGATCCTTGTGGCTTTCATTCCTTGACTTTTACCAACTTGTAGTAAGGCTTCTCTTGGGAGGTTCAATGTTGTACTCTTCTTTTGCTGCATACGGTTGTGTGCAGCTTGGTGTTGTATGAATAAATTTTTACCCTGTTACTTATCAGAAAAAAAAAAAGCTGTTGTTAGTACTTGGTAGTTGCAATGTGCAAGTGTCTGAAATGTGGTTTTGGTTCCTAGACTGACAAGGAATGTAAATGTTTAGGAGGGGAAGTCTGTTGTTAGTTTCCTCCTTTTCTGATTTTTGGACTTTCTGGGGAAGTGGGGAGTTCTTAATGAGTGCATATTTGAGATCACAAGATGCACTTACAAGATTATCATGCCAAAATTCCTTGGTCAATTTTATTTCTTGGGCTTCTATTTTGAAGGAATTAAGTTTTATTATTGCTTTTTTTTTTTGGAAATTTGGGCTTCTATTTTGGTTTCCAGGCCTGAAGAGCATGACTGATTAGGAGATGAGTTTGTTGTTATTCTTCTTCCTTTTTAATGCATATTTGAAAACAAGTGATGCATTGAGATAATCATGGCTGAAGTCCTCAGTCCACTAAATTTCCTAGGCTTCTATTTTAGTGGAGTTGATATTTTTTATTATTACACTTTATATGAATTAGACCAAGTATTTTTTTTCTTAAAAAGAAAGATATCTTTGACATGTTTTTTTTCTTCACCGAAGACTACTTGTATATTTCTGTATACAGGCTTTATCTTTTTTTTTTTTCCCTCAAGATCAATGAGGTTATAATTATTATAAATACTTCAGTATATATATATAGACACACACACACACACACCGAAGTATCTGCAAAGTAGAAGACCACTACTGTACTTGATTCCCGAATTTGGACCAAAAAGCAGTTCACCAATTATAGTTCCAAGAGTAACACAAGACAAAAGGGAAACTAACTGAAAATATCAAGTAGCATTTATAGGATGCAAAATATTGATCTTTATTTTGTATTCATAGCAAGCTATATGAACTATAAGGACAACCAATAATGGAAAAGATGAGAGTAGACCCATCTTAATTGCACACAGTGCTGTCATGACTATGGGGCTACTTCTCAAGTGTGTAACTCTGGATTTTGTGGCACTAAGCCTGCTTGCCTCCTTTTTAAAGATATATATCAGGGTTGTGTTTCCTGTTTATTCGAGGTGCTGACACCTGTTCTTTGCCAAGCACAGAACTGAATTATATCTTATCAGTGTTGTCAATGTGGTGAAGTGATGACCAGTCATTTTGGCTTCTACAGTCAATATATACAATGACTAAAAGGTGCCTAGGTGCTGATTAATTGACCAGATAAAAAAAAAATATATGTTCTAAATTTAAGATATTTATGTTGTCCCATAAATAAGATGATATATATTGTATGCAATAAAAAAGTTATATTCAAATTTACTTTGTGGTCTTTTTTGTGAAGTTAGGCTCAAGTGGCTAGGATAGGGAGTTTAAGCCTTTGTTTTTTAAAAGAAAAGTGCAACATTTGATGCACTCCTTATTGGTGGCAATTCTGTACCAGCACACCATTGACTGGAAGAAAACTTAAAAGAACCTAGCTTTCACGTACATCTTTGTGCTTCATTTCTATTTTATAAGCCATCAGCCAACCATGTTCCATTACATTATTTTATAAGCCATCAGCCAAATACTTGAAGCAATGGCATGCCTGGAAACAATAAAAAATACACTACATTATTTTAAATGATTGGAGATAAACACAAACGAGAACAACTCTAAAATAGCTCTACAGTGAAATAGTCAACTTAGTCAATTCTTAATCATCTAGGTGACCACATCATGATTCATGAGTGGTGACTGACTAGTTAGTCAGCAGGTTTGGCCCTCGGTTGACTAGTTGATGGCTAGTCAACACTTTGATAACACCAATCTCTATAATCCATTTATTTCAATTTGCCTTTTCATAATTCTTTCTACAAGCTGTCTTGGCTTCACATCTTATTGACCAAGAAATATCAATATATTTTCCTTTTTGATGCCTTATTAAAGCTTTTTATTTTGTTTTTCTATGGGTGGAGAGGGTGTTGCACAGATATCTGACATAAGTTCTTCCTTAAGAGGTACTACTGCTTATTGGTGCCCCTGACACTCCCTGCGCTTGTGGTTGCAGTATATTTCCATTGGCTTAGCATGAAACTCTTCAAGCATGCATGAATTCTGCATGTTTAAAATTAACAAACACATTCATGAAGATATCTAGCAGTTTCTCCTGAGCCTACAAACTCATACGGTTTGGTCATTAGTGAATATGTAATCTTGCTTGGGCCACAAGTTCTCAACATCAGAAATTTCTCGTTTTTGCATAATGCTTTATGGAAAATTAGAGCCCAAGTCATTTTCCTGATTACTGAATTTCAAGGAAACATTTACTTCCTAGTCATTTTGTATAAATTGAAAGTGTAATTTTCATTATTATTATTATTAATTTTTTATGAAAACAAAGCCTCCCTGTCAAGTCATTTTCAGCTTTTCTACAGACAAGCTAGTGCAAGTATTAATGAAGCTGTAGACCTTTCTTCATTTTACTGCTTGCATGCCACCTTT